AGATCAAGATCCTGTTGAGACTTTTCAAAATAAACTGAATCACGTGAAAGAGCAGATTATTTACGGATGAGAAGTAAAAAAGACGTCAGGTGCTAAAAAAATAAACCTTAGACTCAAACGTTAGAACAGGCTTTTCCCCGCAGCACGCCGTGTAATAAATACAAAGAAAACGGCGGCCGTTCAAATTTGTCTGGGTTAGTGTGGGCGGAGCCTAATGCAGGGCAGAAGCTCCAGTTTGACGGCTTCTTTGCAGTGAAGTTCAAACTGAAAGCAAATCCTCATCTTTGGATCTCAATACAATTTAAAAATAACTTCATACATGAGCAGCTGGAGCTCATCGGCCACGTCACCCTTACCTCCTCCTTCTTCTTGGGGTCTGAGAGCGGGTTTCTGAAGAGCGGCGAGTCTCCGTACGGCGAGTACGCCAGCACGCTGAGCTGCTGCTGCAGCATGGCCTGCTGGGCAGCCGCTGCGTTGGGATCTGTGAGGGCTGGAAATGAGAAGACGTTAACGCTCCACGTGTGCGAGTGTGGACGTGAAACAGCAGCCGGAGGTCAGCTTGAGGCACATTTTTACCAGCAGCATAAAACAAACATGAACGAACTAAATGATGACGTTTTAAAGCATTAATCTGTCCTCATCTCTAAAACATGTGGCTGCTCACCGACGGGCTGCGTCGCTCCGAATCCCAGGGTGCTCGTTCCACTGTTGAATCCCGTTGTTCCGAACGTTCCCATCGTTCCCAGCGCGGTGCCCAGTTTGTTCTGGGTGTTGCCAAACAGTGTCTGCCCGGGGCCGACTGCTGGACACACAGATGTGGACAAACTCACTGTTGAGTTTTTTTCTGGCTGACTGAGCAGAGGTGAGTGTCCCAGTTAAAGCAACGAGGCGGTTACTGGGTGTGTTACCTGTACCGAAGCTGGTTCCCAGTCCGGTCCCCAGCGCTCCGGTGGTGGACTTGTTCCCAAACAGTCCTCCTCCAGCAGGGTTTGCACCGAAACCTGCAGCCAGACAATCAAACAGGACGAACTGAAGAGCCGGAGGCGCAGAAACGTCGACATCGTTACATATTTTCAGCCGACTTACCGAAGGTGGAGGTGTTGGTTCCGGTTCCCAGTGTGAGGGTGGGCTTGTTCCCAAAAAGGCCGGTGGTGGTGCCGAAGGACGGGGCACTGGTGGTGGTGGTGCCGAACCCGGCTGTCTTGTTACCGAATAAACTCTGCTGCAGAAGCCAAAGTCACAGGATACGTAAAGGATCAGTCAAACTTAAACTCAGGACTACAAAAGAGCTGCGAGTGCTCAGAGAAGACGACGCGTAACAGTGACGCACAGCTCAAAGAAGCATCTGCCTGGAAACACACGAGCTTCCCCGCGTGCTCTGGAATATTTGTTCTCCGAGTCATTAAAGGCATCCTCCTGAAAACAGGCGCACTCGTTAACTCTGCTTTAACCGTGAGGGTGCAGGGTAAGACTCTCACACTGAGCTGCAACCCAAACAGATCCGTAAACGATAAGTTATTTTTTTACAGTTTTGTCCTCCTGTCACTTCACTATGAAAAACCATAATCGCTGATTTATTTCACAGTTAACAGGTCAAAGTTCACAGATTGTTAACAGCAGCTCTGCTCACGGATGATGCTTAAACGTGTTAGTTTAACAGACTTGCTAACTTCTACCAGTAAAGACATTAAAATCGATGTTATTGAGCTTCTATCTTTGTTGTACATGCGGTTGAAACTCTGCAGCACACGTCCTGCTGCATTCGATCATCCATCTCTTTCCCCGCTTTCATAGAATAAAGAATAAGTCGTTGCTCCTTTATATCAAACTGTCCTCACAAACAGCAGAGCACACAGGCAGGACACGAACGAAGCGCCGTGTCCTTCAGACTGAAATCAGACCGTCTGTGCTTCATTCAAACTGTATTGACACAGAGTTGTTTGCATCACAAACAAGAGTTTGATGAGGGGAGGAGCTGCTGCACGCCGGACACACACACACACACACACAAATAATTCACAACTGGACAATAATGGGTCTGCTCTGATCCCAACCTGAGTGCCGACATTCCCAAATCCAGTGTTGGTTTGGCCGAACAGGCCCGTGGCTGTCCCGAAACCAGTGGCGGTGCTGGTCTGAGCTGAGCCGAACAAGCCGCCCGACTGAGACGCCGCCGTGTTCCCAAACAAACCCTGAAGAAACATCCAAACAACCTCACTGTGACTTCAAACAGCTTCAGAGTCAAGAGAAAACATGCTGCACCAACGCAAGACAGCTGAACGTCGAACTGAGACGACAGCAGCGTTGGCAAGTTACTTTGAAAAAGTAATTAATTATAGCTACTAGTTACTTCTTCAAAAAAGTAACTGAGTTACAAGATTCTAAAAGTAATTAATTACTTGAAAAGTAACTATTACGTTACTTTAAAAAATAAAAAAAAAGTTTAACCCTCTGGGGTCCCGGGTATAATCGGCCATTTTTGACTAGTTTTGATGTTTCCTCCACATTTCACCTTTAAAAACTGTTTATTTGTCTTGTTTGGTCTCAGCACAGCCTCACGTGTCTCAATTTACAGTCATGTTTTCATTTTGACAAACTGTATTAACACAACTGATCTAAAATCAGACAAAGACATAAAATCCAAGTAGAAAAAGTTATTTTTTACTGTAACAACCACAAACATGTTTAATGATCATATTTCATAACTTTAAATGCAAATATAAATCCTCAGTTTTAAAATCATATCCACACGTTTTGCAAACAAAGTTATTTGCAGCAGTTTACCTTTGACCCTTTTTTAAACCATTTCAAACTGTTTACAGAACAATCAGCTGTTCTGCATTCAACAAGACGCCACACAAAATGTCATGCTGCCATTTTTTGATTGGTCGACATCGTGCATTTTTCCACCAACACCAACGGGCTGTTTTTGTTTTTTTATTTTTTTGCTCATAAGCAGAGCGTGCTCGCTGCGCTGTCCTTAGAGAAACGTGACGAAACTATTGAGGAAAAACATGTTTATCATGACTCTGGTTTTACTGGCCGATCAACACAATTTATAAACTGGCACCTTGTTGCTTTGTCATCTTGAAGTGGTCATGTGATTGTCTTACCATGACTACTTTGTTCTTCCGCGGTCAAACAGCATGTGATTGTTTTGCCCCCCGAGCTCCAGGTGTTGTGCCAAAAAGTGATCGTCGGGCAGAAAGTGATCGCTGTCCGCAGGAGCGCAGCTGTTTAAAGCTGTAGAGTCCAGACTACTTACAGATACTTCCTGCAGCTGATATAAGCTGCTGTAAGTTGAACACAGCTTCAACCGTCTGTTTGTTGAAAAACAGTAACGCGACCGCGCTGCATTTTCTTGTTAGTAACTGTAACGGCGTTGTAACGATAGAAGTAGTAATTAGTTAGATTACTTGTTACTGAAAAAAGTAACACCATTACATGTAACGGCGTTACTCCCATCACTGGACGACAGCGCGTGCTTTGGCTGCTAAACAAAAACTAAACTGAATCAAAGTGAAGCCGCGTCTGCTGGTTTCCACCTACAAACAAGTCTTTACTTTTTGGGGCTGCAGGAGTGAAATTGTGTGAAAATGAGCAGCAACCAAACTCAACCTGATGACAACGTGTCACAAACAGTGAGGCGGAGCTAATCTCACCATGCTGCTGGTGTTGGCCTGTCCTATCGTGTTGGTGTTTCCAAAGGAGAAGCCGGTGCTCTGGGCGGTGGTGGTCGCACCAAAGGGCTTGAAGAGGCTGCCGGCCTGCTGCTGGGTCTGCTGACTGAACAGGCCGCCCGTGGTCGCGCCAAAACTGCCGGTAGTTGCTGAACAGACACACACGCACGTCACTTCACCTGCTCTCGTCAACACTTCTTATTATTTGTGGGCTCTACGTCACAGCTACTTACGCCCTCCGAAGGTGCTCTTGTTCTGGCCGAAGGAGAAGCTGGTGTTGGGAGCCGAGGATCCGAAGAGGCCGGTGGTGGCGCTGGACGTGGCCGTGGCCTGGCCGAAAAGACTGCCGGTTCCCGGCGCCATCGGGTTGGTTGGGCCTTTCCTGCCCGCCTGGTAGTCCTCCAGCCTCAACTCCTGCAGGGAGAGGAAGAAACAACATCGTCAAACAACAAAACTGAGTTTTTAGTGGCTGCGTTTAAGAGCCGCAGCCAGCTGAGTGAAAACGCACCTCCAGAGACTTGTTCTCGTACTCCTTCATGGCAGTGATGCACTGGTGCTTCGTATTGATGCTCGTTGTCACGCCCGCCTTCACCATTGTGTCACTTCCTGTCGGAGGCTGAAGGAGGGAAAACAAATTTAACACAGAGCATAAAAACAGTGAGACGAAGTGTCTGAGAATGAGCAGAAAGACGATTAAAGGGGAAGAAGAGTCGCTCACGTTGAACTTCACGGTCGTTCCCGGCTGCTGAGTGGCGGAGAACCCCGAACCTCCAAACAGGGACGTAGCCCCGCCGAACGGGTTGGAGGTGGTGTTGGTGGAGCCGAAGAGGCCACCGCTGCTGCTGGTGCTCGTCCCGAAGCCTGAAGAGAGAGTTCACGTCATTACAGGGCGAACAGAAGGAGAGTCGGAGCAGCTTCAAATCCACAACAACGAAACTGTAAACATGCTTTTTGTTCTTTAAGTTTCTGATTCTCTCGTTGTCGTCGCTGCGGGGATTTATCGTTTTTAATAAAAACGAGAGTGAGGGTTTGGAGAGTTCTCACTTCCAAACGAGGTGGCTTGCTTGGCGCCGAAAGCATTGTTCTGCTGGGAGAAGAGTCCGCCGGTGGTGCCTGTGCCAGTGTTGCCAAACAGGCTGGTGGAGGTGCCGCTCGCTGCGCCGAAACCGAAGCCGGTGCTGGTGGAGGAAGTTGCCGGCTGGCTGAACGTGCTGGACCCAAAGAGCCCACCTGAAGGAGCAACACGGACAGGTCAGCACTTACGAGTTTTCCTTCTTTAGACACGCCCCTCATGACTGAGCCGCCTCTGAAGGATCGTTTTACTGGATTTGTACAGAACAGGCCGAGAGCAGAAAGGAAGCTTTGAACCGACAGTTTCTCTGCAGCCGAGCACACATCAACAAAGCAAAACTGAAAAACCACATGAATTCATCGGAGACAGCGCCGAGCTGCGTTCAGGTGCGGTTTAGGATTGTTGGAAAATCTCATCTATGCACACTGAAACACACTAAACAACACTCGGTGCCTTATGAACCTGTGTGTGTGTGTGTGTGTGTGTGTGTGAGAAGTTCTGAAGCACCACAAAAATGTTTGCTGAATGAAACACAAACCTGGTTTATTCTGCGTGGATCCAAACAGTCCTCCAGTGTTTGTCGTCGCCCCGAACGCAGACGTGCCGAAGCCTCCCGTCGTCCCGAAGCCCGTGTCTGGAGAAAAGAGACCAGATGAAGACACGATGATTCACGTCCACCTCCATCAGAGGGAACTACGTTTTTCTATCTGTGAGATATTTAGTCTCTGCGTTATCGCAGGCCCTCGCGTTGCAATGATCAGTCTGCTGATAGTGAAAACATCGACTGTCTCCTGACGTTTCACTTTTGTTTTTGTAAATTTGAATCTCCATTACGCTTCAGGAATTCAAACTGAAGCGTAATAAAACTCTGTGTGTGTGTGTGTGTGTGTGTGTGTGTGTGTGTGTGAACATCCTAATGATGTGCTGCTCTCATCGTTTCTTCCACATTAGTTTGGATATTTGGCATTTCTGACTCGCCCGAGGTATCGAGCTCCTGTACAAAAAGAAATTCACTTACTTTGCTGACCGAAGGTGGACGAGGTGCCAAATCCTCCCGCCCCGCCACCGAAGGGCGTCCCAAATGATTTGTTGAACATCTTGCCCTGCTAGCAGGACAGCATAAGTCTCTGTGGACACAAACACCACCGTACAGTTTAGATCACAAACGTTTATCTTCAGTCCCACCGACTAACCGATCGAGGCAGCAGATGTGCAGCTTCTGTTTTCTGCTGCCGTGTTGGTGGTGTCTGATGGAGAGCAACAGCTTCACTTAAACCCACACTGGATCTTTCAGGTTTAGCTTGTATGTCTGTTTAGGGGTGTGGTTTACTGCCGCAGGTAACACAATGACCGTAGATCCTGCCTTAAAGACACTTTAGTGTCCCAGCTGAGTAAAAACCTTCTGAACAGCAGGAGGAAAACTTCTCTGACGTCACTCAAATTAAATGTTTGACAGACATCAGCTTCTGCTCTGAGAAACCACATTTACAAACAGAACTTTGGCTTCAGCCTCACATCCACAGAGGACTTCAGAAGAGCCAATGAGCATGACTCATAGTGTCACGTCTTTGGATGGAGGAGCCGGAACCAGAGGAAATGCCGAGCTCTGTTTTTAACCCAGACGTGACGACAGAGGAGCGTGTCCAACCATGAAACTGCACTCTCACTGGTTCAGACCAGAAGCTCCATCCAGCTGTTAAACTGCACATGCAGCAACTGTTACAGGCAGAAGAACAGCGGGACTCAGCATCTGCAGTGTTACTCTCTACAACAGGAACACACTTACACTCAGCCGCTGCAAAGCTCGGACCAAAAGCTCTACAGCTTTTATGGAGGAACACCATCAGGTGGTGTTCAGCTTTGTCCTGTTGTTGCTCATCAGTGCAAACGCTGCTTCTGTGTGCAGGAGTGCCCTTCAGCAAGTGTTTGTGGGAAGGAATTTAATTACAACAGTACTCACAATCCTGTGATTTAGGCCTGTGACTACAGTGTTACGATGAAGTCTTCTTGTGTATATTTGAGAACACGAGGACAACGACTGCTCTCACTCCTGATTAGAAATCACTGCACTTCCTGTTCTAAAGCATCTTTTGTGCAGGTTAGGTGTTCTCGACCTCCTCTGAGTACATTTGACACACGACACATCGGCTCTGATGCGTTTTAGATGAAAAACAAATCTTTGTGTTGGATAATTAACTCTGGGCTCTTTCTACATGTTCGAACAACATGCAACAGCATTTCTCCTACAGAGACACTGAAAATCACACATTCACTGACAGCGAGGCTTTTATACCTTTACTCATTCAATATTCGCACCTTGTTTTTACTGTGGTTCATCTGTAATGAGGGTTTGGCGTGTGTGACATGACCCTCTTACACACAAGAAACGCCAGGTGTTGATTCCAGCTGTGGTTTGTTGTTTTGTTTCAAATCATGTTTTTCATTTATTCTCTTTGTCAGGGATGGAAACAGACACATGAAGCCTTGAGTCAAACCTCTGATCTTCATCTCGCTCCACGAATCCAGTCAGGAAGCATTTAAGGAGGAATTCTTTAAATGCTTCACGGGTACAAAATGACCCCAGCTGACGGAAACTGCACGCGTTTACCCTTACCCTTGTTCTAATGACTTCTGTGAGCACATTATCACGCTATCGGTCATTTCTCGCCGACCTCGATTCGCCTCCACGTGCGGCTAACCGAGCTGATCCGCCGGTTAGTCACAAACATCCGAAACACAAACGTTAATGTTGGAAAAACTGGGCGGGTTTACAGTAGGTGCTATTCCGGCTCCTAACCGGGCGAGTCCGAGCCAGACCAAACCAGCTCCAAACCGCAGGTGAAGTCATGTAGCATTATTTCCGCTCCCGCTAACAACAAGTTAGCTCCGTGAATCTAGCCGACACACACCGAGCTACCAAACAGCCGCGTCGCCCGGTGAAGAGGACGGTGTAAATGTTTAGATTACCCCGTTACAAACTCATCGTTGTCCTGGATGTTTACGGGCGCGCAGTTTAATCACTGTTACGAGTTACCTGCGTCAAGCTAATGCTAAGCAGCTAGCTAGCTTTGCGGCTAAGTGAACGATAGCAAAACAAAACTAAGACAGACAAAAGAAACGTTTTAAAAGACACTGACCTTTAACACCAATGTGACACCCGCCTCTCTGTTTGCCTTCCGTCCACACTGACCAAGCTACAGAGTCAGAAAGTTCAGCGATGGAAGCGCTTTAGCTCAACATCCACCGCACAGCTTTGTCAACGAGGAGGGAAAACGGCCCCACGCAGCGTCATCACGCACTTTCATACGTCCAACGTCACGACGACACTGCAAATAGCACCTAAAAACAAAATCCAAACGCCGCCGTTTCGTACACATGAAAATAATTAAATAGTATTATATCTATATGTATTTAAAATAAAAAAGCATGAAATCGCAACCTGTCTATATTTATTCAACGATACACAGGAAGTCTGTCCGATCACGAACTCAGCAATGGGAGTGATCCCCACCGATAACGCGTTAAAATGATACTCATATAAATCGGTGGTGCAGATTTGGCTGAAAGCGTGCAAGAAAACATTTTGCCACCTCTTTCATGCTGTGCTGAGAAGATTAAAGATCAATACACTTAAAGAAGATCAATACAAAAACTCTGTTTTTGTGTCTGAAGGCCTCAAAGCAACAGACAGTAACGCGAAGCCTGTTTATGTACGAAAAAAGGAACAGCAACGATATTTTAATGCTATATACACTTTTTATATTTATTTTGGAGGTCTCTGTTTCCCACACCATCAGTCTGAGGTTCTGAAACTAACAGCAGCATCGCTTTTCGTTGAAAACACTCCAGGTTTAGTGAATATTCTCCTGCAGAAACCTGAAAAGGAACAACGTCGGTCTCTGGGGATGAGAGACATCAGGAAAAAGTTTGAAATAGATACTTTTCTTTATTGTCACTCCATTAAACGTGGACAGCCCAAAAAGTTGATTCTGTTCATCTAGACCAGGGGTCCCCAATCCCAGTCCGCGAGGGCCCTGCAGTCCCTGCAGGTTTTAGATCGCACCCTGGGTCAACACACCTGACTCACATGATTAGTTCATTACCAGGCCTCTGGAGAACTTCAAGACATGTTGAGAAGGTAATTTATCCATTTAAATCAGCTGTGATGAATCAAGGACACATCTAAAACCTGCAGGGACACCGGCCCCGTGGACTGGGATTGGGGACCCCTGATCTAGACGTTTTCAGTGGGAGAAACGTTTCATCATCAGGTGACTTCTACAGTCTCAGCTGACTGCAGGTTTCCAACCTTATAAACAAGACATTTGCATAATGACTGAAACTAGCACCACTGAATGAACAATGCGCAGTGAGGTCAGCTCCTTGATCATTAATATGATTTGTTTGTGTCAGGGACCCGATCCTTGGGGTGGACTGATTTTTGGCAGAGTGTGTTTAGGGGTATAAAAGCCACAGAGACGCTGTGTTTAGAAAAATATATAGTATATAGCATTTGTATTTCTATTTTATTCTATTGTATATAGTATTTTATTTTATTTTATTTTATTTTATTGCATTCCAGTGTTTTCTAATTTCTGCTACATAACTTTGCACTTTTGCATCTTATCTTATCTTAGTGCAGAAATGTTTTGAAATTATTTGTTTTTATTTTGCATGTCTCGATAAAATCTACAGCGAAGTTCATATTAAACCAGGCTGACTGCAGGTGGACACGGAAACAGGAGAAACACAGCTGCACTGTCTCCCAGTTTGTGGATTTGGACATGAAAAACTACAGCTGGGCACACTGTTCTTAAAAGTAACAGCAACAACAAGAAGTATCTATCGGCCTGATGTCCTGAGGGCAGACCTCAGCCTTCACTCAGCCTTCAGGGTGAGTCTGATGCTCTGGTCTCTGAGCTCATAGATAAGGGTGCTCAGAGCTCTGCAAAGAACGATAAGACACGTAGAAGCATTCTGCACGAGCACAGACACTCTTCTTGAAACCGTTTTTGAGGTAAAAAACGGTTCACAGTTGAAGAAAGGCTGAAGCTCAGCAGTGTGTTACGAGGATTCAGGGCCAAAGCTGTGTCTGTGGAGGCCGGCCTGTCTAACACAATACCAGCAGACACACCGAATGTAGGGATGTATGAGAGAAACAGACGTTTTTGTTCATCTGCAGAATCAAACCATACCGATGGTGGTGGCACGCCTCAGTAACACACTCCAGAGACACACACACACTCTCCC